GCGAAAAGACCTAAATAATTCAAAACTAAAAGTATATTGCGACTAATTCAAGGGTGCTGGTAATATTTATAAATACTGCATATTATATTGTACGGCTTAGGATGAGAGGTGAGAAAGAGAAAATAATAAACGGACGAGGAAGAACAAGAAAAAGAGAAAGGAAGTTACTTAGGTGTAGCTAGCTAGTAACTAGCATTCTAGAGAAACTCCTCAGACCTTTCAATAAACACTCCAACAGCATTAAAAGATAAAATTAAATTAAACATTCTGAAACTAACTAAATCAAAAAAAAAGATTCCTGTAAAGCTCAATTGAATTGGAATTAAAATGTTACCTAATTATGTATATAACATTATGCCACGATAGTTACATCACACTGGTTGCACTATTTAGAATCTTCTGACACTATAGTTGATTTTCAAATGGGTTTTATTAAACGATCTGCTATTTTCTTGAAAAGAGATGTTTGATCGGAAAAGTGATAGACTATCTAAAGGATATTAGAAAAACATAACAAGAGAAAGGAGATTATAAAGTATTACAATTGGTATATATTTATAGACTAATTCATATTGTGTACTTAGATCAAAGATTAATCACATTAATAAAGACATGTCATATTTAGTATTGGACAGTCCCAATTACTTGTTGCCATAGATTAGAGTTGTGTAATTAATAAATTACCCGTTATATGATGTAATATACGTTATTTGACGTAAACATTGGTATTGCATGCATACTGCAACGGGAAATTTTATTTTATTATGACGTATTTATATGTATACCAACCGTATTGATAAACATTACATTACTGTAGTCAATAACCATCTGCATTAATTATTTTTATTACATAAACGTAGTCAGGTTTAGTATTCGATATCGCCCACTACTTCGGTTGTGGGGGTCTGATGGCAGTGGCTCCACGTAAAAAATCGAAGTTCACCGTAGACTTAAAGCCGACTCCTACCTAGTTTGGGCAAAGACTTTGAGGACTTGAAGTGACGGAGTTCTCAGGTAACAAACATAAGAACATGGAACCGAATTGAGAACCATCTTCTATTTTGAAGTTGGTTAAAATAGTTAAAAAATAACATTACACGCTTTGATCACATCAACAGAATTAAGAAGAAGAAAATATTTTTCTTTATATAGCGTAGAGTAAAAATAATTTTACATTTAGCAGTCGAAAAAATAATTTCGTTTGTAAGTATTTTTTTAATTTGTGACTCATCATTTCGTTAATGCCTATGCTAAGCTAGTAACTTAACACCCATGTTTATCTGTTTGTTTGTGTGTATTTATCTTTTGAAAGGAAAAAAATATACTGAACTATTACATCATACATCATTTTTATCCAAAGCGATAAAACAGCTTTGTCATTTTCCTTTACCTATTTACTGAACTACTTTATATATGTCTATATGAAAAATAGTCTACGAAGCCATGTTTTATCTATGTTATGAAGTTATAAACAACCTAAAATTCCTCCTCCTAAAAACCTATTCTTACCTAACCAACACGGTTAACACAACTCGACTTTCCGTTCCTTTCTGTAGGGAAAGAACCTCCACGCTAAAATAATCACAGCGGGGCTAAGAGTGTACTCTCATACTAAAATCAGGACTAACGGGAAACTCCCAGAAAACACCTATTCTAATAATGTTGCCAAAGTAAAAAATCTTACAAAATGAATGCTAAAGAATTGCTACTTAGAAAATTCAAAATATTACGATACTTTTACTTACAGTGGCTGCGTTAAAATTAATGAGCAATAGAGAATAATAAAAAAAAAACCCACTTAAAGTATGGTGAATATTAAGCGCTTCGATGAACTAATGTTTTCCTATTTATTGCGGAAAGCATTATAATAATATACGTCAGAAAAAACTTTCCTTTCTTCTTAAAATTAATAAAAAAATACTTTCGGTCTGTAGAAGTAATAGTATTCTATTTCATATACTATTTTTTAGTCATCAGATCAAATAATCCATGCGGTGATGGATTGGTCCGGAAAATGCCACTGCAAAGAGAAGGAAAACTTGAAACAAACCCTTTTTTTTTTTTTTTTTTAACATGTGGAAATCCCCTCGGACCGTCACCCCTCCGGGGTTTGCGGCGGGGTGGTGTGTCGGACTCGGACCGACTAAAACCACACGGTGTGCCACTCTGCGCCTGTAACAGGAGGGATCCGGGAACAGCTGTTGTTAAGACATCCGGACCCCTCCTAGCGCCAGCCCGCTCCTGGTGCGGGCTCCGTCTCAATGTTGATGTTCCTCTCTTTAGGCGACGTCCGGCACACGCGGACGCCGCCCCCTCGCGGCTGGCCAAACTAATGCGGGTGGAGGGGAAACCCACCCCGTCCACCCGCGGCCACACTCAGGGCGGCATGAGGCTGTGGTAGGCGGGCCTCCGCCGCCCGGTTCGCCGGCGGCGGATCGGGTCCGAGTGGAGGTCGTCCTCCCGGGCCCTCTCCGCCGCCTCCTTCCGCCCTTTTTTTTTTTTTTTTTTTTTTTTTACGTGTGGAAATCCCCTCGGACCGTCACCCCGCCGGGGCTCTCGTTCGGCGGGGCGGTGTGTCGGACTCGAACCGACTAAAACCACACGGTGTGCCCTCTTTGCGCTTCCAGTTTAGGAGGGGTCCAGGTAGCTATCTCCTTCTGGACCCCTCCCAGCGCCGGCCCGCTCCTGGCGCGGGCTCCGTCTCAGTGGACCCTCTCTTTAGGCGGCGTCCGGCACACGCGGACGCCGCCCCCTCGCGGCTGGCCAACTAATGCGGGTGGAGGGGAGAACCCATCCCGTCCACCCGCGGCCACACTCAGGGCGGCATGAGGCGCAGGTAGGCGCGCCTCCGCCGCCCGGTTCGCCGGCGGCGGATCAGGTCCGAGTAGAGGTCGTCCTCCCGGGCCTTCTCCGCCGCCTCCTTCTGCGAGATTACCTCCTCGCAGAAGGTTGCGACCGCGGTAAAACAACTGTCGCTACCGGCCATGGAGCGAATTACGGCCGGTAGCGAGAGATCTGCTCCGATGACTGCAGTGAGGGCCCGGCGCTGCGTCGCCCATGCGGGGCAAACCGCCAGCGTGTGCTGGGCCGAATCCTCACCGCAGTCGCAGTGGTGGCAGGCGGGACTCGATTCCCTCCTAGCGACCGAGTACAGGTACTTTCCGAAGCAACCGTGCCCGGAAAGCACCTGCGTCAGCCGGAAGGAAAGGGTCCCGATACCAACCTGTCTGGTCTGCGTTTTAAGCCAACCTCCTTTCTAAGGAGAGGCCTATGTCCAGCGGCAGACGGTTAAAAGTTGTTGATGATGATGATTATTTCATAAAGGATTCTTTAGTTTTCGGTTCAAGAATAAATATTAAAGAACAAGAAATAACAACCAACACACACGCGAGTTGCGGCCATACACAATATCGGTGTTAAGCAACTTTTGCCTTGCTTTTCACTGAGTGTGTGAGGTAAACAAAAGCCCCAAGGCCTCATAATAAATTGAAAATTAATAATTAATTATTATTAATGTATTTTAATAATTATTTAACTGTTTTAAATTACTGAAAGGGTGACAACGCTTATGTAACGGATATATCTAAAGAAGAAAACCTTTGAAAATTCATAAGTCGCCACACTTTGTGACCTAGAGGGCGTTGCCTTACAATTGTAGAAGAGCATCCTTCTCTAACAAAAATGGGTAACCCAACCCAGTAACTTCAAGCCAGCGCTACTGGTAGTTGGACAGGAGAGTGTTAGTCCACTCCCGTTCCTTTAAGTCTTTACCTAAGGTAAAATACGCTTTAATGGCAAACCGGGCTCCGGGCTCCGGGCTTCAAGATCGGCTCCAAGATGACAAATTTTAATATTGCCATTTAAATTAGATGTGCAAAGCAATTCATTATTAGATAGAAGTAGAAGTAGGCACTTACTACGAGTATACAAACAAATCTTCTTGACAACTCCAAAATTTTGCAAAACAAAATAGTACATAATGTACTATTGTATAAATTGTACTCTTGATTGTCAGCACTTTGTGGAACTTGTTGAAAAACATACAAGTGACTTTGATTTCATAATGTACATATGTATGACCCGATGCGATGTCCAATCGCTATGTCCAACTAGTTGTACCACGGGTACAAAACAAAAGAACAAATTTAGTTTATGCTTTAGTGTCTACCATCGGAATAATAGCCGGGAAAATAGGTCAAAACTACAATTCTAAAGCCTATTTCTATGGTGAATAACACATTTTGATTACAAAATCACATATATTATAGACTAGCTGACCCTGCAAACGTTGTTTTGCTATTTACATAATTTAATTTTTTATAATTTATTATTTAATAAAAAAAAATTTTTTAGAATTTCTTAAAATCCGTTCTTAGCTGACCTCTACTCGGTGAAAAGAATATTCCTACCAAATTTCAAGTCTTTAGCTCTAATGGTCCCTTATAAACTTTCACATCACCTAATTTACTTTCTTTCGTTTTCGATCTTCATTTGTTTTTATCAATCTTCATTTGTGATTCATTTCTGATACAATACAATACAATAGAAAGGTTGGATATAGCATTTGTCCATACACCAGTTGAACAATACCACTTCAGCAGTAAATAAAAATTCTCTTATTTGGACCATGGATAGCTTTATTTACGCGTGGTACAACGAGTTGGACATAGCGGTTAGACCAAGGGTCGGGAGCGCTCATCATCATCATCAATAGAAAGGAGGTTTAAAGGGAGCGCTCAATTGTACGGAAATAAATAATGGAATTTACGTCGTATAACATGACGACTTGTTGTGGCATGTACCACAGATACGTCATAATTGAGGAAAATGGAGAAATGTTTTATTCTATAAATGCCCGGTTACCATCTTCTTTGAATCAGTTACATTTATGACACGAACGACGCAGAGTAATATAGAAGTCTATAAAGTTATTTGTTTTTCATTTATTAACTATAGAAAGTATAATAACAATTACGCCGTTGCAAGTAGATGCATTAATGATGTATCGATACTTTGTAGCACTGTTATTGGTAAGTTTATTATATATTTATTTCATATGTTTAGTTTAAAAATAAGTATCTGTTTATTTTAAATATCATCTTTACGCCTACGAGTAATTAACTGATAACTGAATGTTACATTAATAATAATACGTAGACATTTAATATTAAATTAATACATCATTTACACCTGACCAGTAAAAAATATAAAAAAATATATTTACTTTGTTGTTATACTTATGTTTTTTAAATGTTTTGAGATGGACATTTAATTTATTATTCAATGTCAATGTAGGTCCAATAGAAATAATTATATGTAAAATCATTACGTGCAAATAAGGCCAGTAACTGAATGTGAGTGACATAAGGTTAGTTTAAGGCTGAACCAAGTCACCAATACAAAGTTAACCTATATCAATATGAGCAATACGTTCATAATATATTAATTTATTAAAGTGCACATGTTTCATTACAGCTTAACAACGCCTACTAATCAGAAATGATGATTCAGTAGTCAGCATAAACCTAACAGTATTTATTAATTCATTGTATGATGGATTATTTTGGTATTATTGCCATATTAGTTTAATAACTAATATGGCAAAATAAATAAATTTATAAAATTAAAAGTAAACTATGTAAAAGTAGATGGCAAGCGAAAATATGAATGTATAAAAAAAAAAGAACCCAGACGAATTGAGAACCTCGTCTTTTGTGTTTTTGTAATCCGTTAAAAAATCACTCCTCTTTCTTCGTCTATTGAAGAAGATCTATTTTTTTTTATTGGTCAAATTAAAAATATAAAAAACAATAACCCTTGTTTCTATTACTTGATCTCTTCCATCAGCGAATATTAAACTAAAAGTCAAAATTATTAAACATTTCAGATCTTCTCCTCAGAAGTTGTAACTTCGAACAATGTTAAAACAGTGTTCGATCCCACAGCTATCAGAACTTGTAAGTATTTTAAAATCTATTTCTTTCGTAAGAGTATTGATTTGTAATTTGACACAAAAAGGAGACATGATTATCACTTGCAAGTTGCAATGTTTACTCGTAATGTATTAGCTAAACATACCTGTGTGCATTTTAATTACCCTCAAATGGTTTTATTAACCGGAATATCCCTACTTTACAGTTATCTAATGATAAATTGATAGATAATTTGAGTGTTTTTTCTTTTCAGTCACAATGCCTGACTCCTGCAAAAGTAAGGGCTTGGAGTTCTGTTTCGACAATGAAAACTACCCCGTGGACATAGTTGAAGACGTTTTGAAGGATATGACCAACTGGGTTAGTATTTAAAACTTGTGAATAGCGAAGTATGATTACTTAAATATTACTTCATTACGGTTTATATTTGTGAAGAACTTTACACTTCACTTTGAAAGGCATATATTAATTTGATGGCCATTTTATAGTGTTTTAACACACAAGGTCTTTCCCGCAATTTCAGGTGAATTTATGGTCATTGCGCCGCTCGTAAAAGTCATAAAGTAATGCTTTATAGCCTATCAATCAATAGTACTTTATGTAATACAAAGTATATTGTAATCTGAGTGATAATTCCAAAGATAAGAATATTTAAGCCAACAGAAAGCTTTTCAGCTTTACGACATTAAATATGACGTGATATTAGACATGATAAATATTATTTTAGGGATATTTTTTATTAACAAACCACAAAGAAAATAGAACAATATATGAACAACAATAGAAAATACAAATCACACACATAACACCTTGTTATGACGATCACTATGATTATGAGACCGTAATCGCAACAGAAAATAAATGTCATGAAAACCAAAGCAAAAACTAATACTTTAATATTTTACTTTGACTGTTGTTTTTTTTTCTTGAATCATTAAATACCAGTAAAATATTTACTAACCTTTTTATAAAACACTTATCCACAACTTTCAAACTGCCAGGTGGTTTCCAACGATAACGCAGGGCCTATACCGTCCTACTCCGACCGACAAGGAGGCTCTTCTGATGAAGACGACTGTCGTAGCAACTCAAAAGTAAGTACCTTCTTACAGTACGTTCTTTTTGTAGAAACTCGTTAAGTTTTCTACATACGAGTACCACCATCGAATATAGCTTTCTCAATTTTTTTGTTTTATATTTATGATTTAACAAATATTTTACTTGTTTTTAGAACGATAGCATTTATTACATCGTTGATGAGGCCGGCAACGATCGAGTGGTTGTACAGTTAGAAGGAAAGTTTGAGCAACGGTTTAGCGTCACGTGGTGCGAGTAAGTATCCTTTAACTTTGTTCAACAGAGAAACTCGACATAATTCAAATCAACGTTTTTCGCTCACTTTAAATTAAATTTCAGCTTATATAAATTATTATAAGTTCAAAGACACTCTGCTTGCTATGGAAAGGGCTATGCTCGGCGTTTCTTAAAGGGTTCCTTGCTGATGCGATATCAGCAAGGAGGTGATCCAGAAACCCAGGGTCATCGACATAGCCCACCGAATCAGTAAACTTAAGTGGCAGTGCGCTAGCCATAAAAACCGACAACCGTTGGGGTAAACGATTTCTTGAGTGGAAACCGCGCCTCGGTAAACGCAGTATAGCACGCCCACAGGCCAGGTGGAGTGACGATTTGCGTAAGATGGCTGGCAGGAGTTGAATGCGAGAAGCCAAAAATCGATCGAAGTGGCGTGCAATGAGAAAGGCCTATGTCCAGCAGTGGACTGCGACAGGCTGATGATGATGATGAAATATTTATTTGAATTACATATAAAATTACATAGCATTACAATTAAAAAAAAAGTATTTTTTTTATGGAATATAATGCAAACGAGCAGATGGGTCACCTGATGGTAAGAGACTGAAGCCCCTCCTGGATACTCGGTACTCAAAAGACAATGCCCCCTCCTCTTCCCCCAGAATTTGCTCCGGTAACCTCACTCATTCGGTGAAAAACAACCAAAGAATTGCTTATCAAAAGAATTGTTTGAACTGAATTGTTTTGACGACCGGATGGCGTAGTGGTTTGTGTAACGGACTGCTATTCCAAAGGTCGCGGATTCGATTCCCGCTCAAGTCAAACATTTGTGTGCATGAACATTTGATGTTTGATTTGGTCTGGATATTTCTATGTATAATATGAATGTATTTACAAAAAAAAAGTATTTATGTATTTATATCAGTTGTCTAGTACCCATTGTACAAGCTCTGCTTAGTTTGGGACTAGATGGCGTTGTGTGTATGTGGTAGAATATTATTATTATTATTATTGTGTGAGGTATTGCTCCGGTTAATCCGATCAATATTTACCGAAGCGTGGCTCTCTCACGATTAACGACTATAAATATAATTCAAAAATCCTAAAGTTTGGTTTGTTTTACAGCGAAGAGGGTCCAATTTCAACCAGAACTACACACTTTTTAAAATCAATGGTGACAAAGTATCAATTGTCATGCCATAATAAATACATGAACTACGACTTTCTAGTCCTAAGCTCAGAACCTAATATGAGCGGCAAGTGGAAGCTGGAGAGAGTGAAAACCAAGACTGGTATTCCTGTGTGCTGTGCATGCAGATATGAAAAAGAATAGATTTAATCAAATCAATAAATGTTAGTCATGAAAGTAAATCTGTAATATTTATTGTACAAAAAAAAATCAAAACATTTAATACAAATGTTAAATTTAATACAAAAGTTTCATTCTATAAATTAAATCAATATCAACTTTTACTATGTTGCAAGCTAATGATAGATTTTATAAAAGGTAAAATTAGTAAAACTATTTATTGTATTATAGAAATTAAATATAAACACGATAACTTTACTTGTTTAGAAACAATTTACCCAAAAATGTACAATATTTTATGCACAAACAAAAATAAATACTTTTAGATTTATTTAGGTTTTAAATTGTAAATACAAATGAGATTCGGTGTTATTAAAAAAAACAAATGTACTGCAATTAATCGCGTTGATATTTCAATTACTTTCCTTACATAAATATTTCAGAGAGTTTTTAAAATGTAACGCTAATTATCAACAAATCACATACGTTTAAACTATCAAGTTAAATTTATAGTAGAACAATTATTGTTTTGTAAATAGAAACCCAAGTTTGTAATATTTAAATAGTAACAGTGTAGACAGAACGAGCGAACCATGGATGGCGTAACAGTAGACATTTTAAGAAAACTTTACCAGTTATACCCAGAGCTACGAGGTTAGACGCAATTGAAGCCTGACTACACTATACATACTCAGTTTAAATTAAAACTGGAAACGTGAGTGCACAATCATGAAGTTTTATCTTCTATTTCTATTTTTATTTAATTATTAACCATATTATCAGTAGTTAACTTTTGCAATGTTATTATTGTTTGTATTGACTTAATGAATTTAACAGTAATTTAATTTAATCAATTTTCATTAATTTATTTTCTTCTAATTTGTGTAATAGTAATTTCTGATTCAAAATGTTATGTTTGACTCTTATGCAGGCTGTGATCTTCTGTAATTAAGAATACACCAGATCAATAATTTATTATTCTCTGTGAATGCTATGTGATATTCTTGTTGAAGATCCTTAAATAAATAAATAAATAAACATTAGGCTTTTTTCTATGCGAGAAAAAGATTAGAAGAGAATAATGTTTAAAATATTTCGTACATCTAACACACAACGTCATCTAGTTTCAAACTAACCGAAGCTTGTACTATAAAAGCTAAATTAATAGAATACTTATTTCCTTTTTTTTCTAAATACATACATATTATACATAGAAAACACACAACAAAAATAATAAGACATCTTGCATTATTTGTGGCTAGTCAAGTCTAAGAAGTGGAGTATTGACGATCGATGAGTAAGTTGAGTAAGTAAGTTAGTTATTAGTAAGTGTCGGAATGTATGTAAACTAATGAAGTGTCCTTGAAGTGAAATGGTGTAAAAATATACATGTCTCACATGGTTGTACAGCAAAAAGTTGTTCTAGAATATATCTAGAATATATTGTTTTCTAACAATATTTCATTCATTTACAAAAAAGTATATATGTATTTATATCAGTTGGTCTAGTACCCATAGTACAAGCTCCGCTTAGTTTGGGACTAGATGGCGTTGTGTGTATGAGGTATAGAATATATTATATTATATTTCAATTATCTTACACGAAAATTTTTAAACTTAACAATTTGTGAATCAAAATATTCATTAATATAAATGCCGCAAGACAGGCGTAAGTATTTTTTAACTCATCTTAGCAATTCCAAAATTGCTTTCTTTAGAGCATCACGGATTGAGTGAGAGTATGTCCTGGTTGATCCACCCCTACCGGACTCCTACTAATGTTTGCGTGTACCTTGGTTTTGATACTTCTTTCGCACTCATTCTTTCTACAAGCAAAGCTTTCATCAGCATATAGGAGACACTTTTTATTCAATCTACTACTACTTTTCCCAATCACTCTTACATACACACTTACTCACCAATTCAAGGTTACGTATTTACACACGTATCCATGAATTGGTTAAACGACCAAAGATTTTAATTATTTTTAAATTTAAATGTTTTCACTCTGTGTGTAAAGGAGTCTGTTTATAAAGCAAGTACGAGTAAATATAGATTTTGAAGGCTTTGCCTCTTGCTTGCTTATCCAACAAGCAAGCAAGAGGAAAATATATCGATCATGTGTGTCTGGAGACAAACAGACATAGAGTAGACACGGTATAAATATTAAGCACACTAGTTAACCCATATCTAATCCATCGTCACTGTGACAGCGTTCGGCGTTTTGATTGGCCCGCAATGAAATCGTCACCAATCGCAATGACGAACGCGCTCGACATCGAGAGCGAGTTGATGTGAAATAAACTCACACTAGGCCCTCTGTAGGTAATTACAGACATTAAAGTGTTTGAACTGCGACCAGAAGACGCAAGTGAGTGTTTATAGAATAAAAAGTAATGTATGAAATATCGTTATAATACCATTAAAATTCCCTTCATAAGGAAATTGGTAACAAATTGAATAATCCAATTCAGTACTTTGATATCCTTGGGAAACTTTTTTTTAAAATTCTTTATGCATAAGTATGAGTTGTACAATGGCGGACTTAATGCCATAGGCATTTCCTCCCAGTCTATCTTAGGGTGTTGTTGAAATGTGTGACTAGGTGCACTAGACAATGATAATTAAAGTAAAAGAAAATTGTTGATAAGTTAGACAGAAGCAATGCGATACATACACATACATAAATACTCACCTAGTTACATACATACATAAACCTACATATTAATAATATATAAAACTTTAAGGTTGTAATGAATCTGCTAGTCTAGAACGACATTGTTGCTTTCGAGAAAGTGGAATAAGCTTATTTTAACAAGCTTTTCTTAGCTTGATATGTACATATGTAGGTATGTAACGTATAAATACGTACGAAATGCGAAATTTATTTCAATTGCCAATATTTAGGTGCATAAATCATCGTCATAAACAGTAATTTAAAAATTTCTTGGTGGCTTCCACAAACAGTGCACATTCAATAGTTACCGGTTACTAACTATAATTCAGATCAAGATGTTGATTAACATCAAAATGGGTTTTTCCAAAGTCAAGTTACGAAGAGGAAAAATGAATCTAACACCAAATTCCAGACTGTTGCAAAGACCTACTTAATAAAAGATCGTGCTAGGTTTCACAGACAGGTTTTTTAACTGATTTAGATAATGTTTTGGTAAAGGCTTGTCTGCCTGGTACAGGGGTTCCTAAACTATTTAGGGTGAGAGACCCCTTTTCTAAAATGCACTGATACCTCAGATCTACATAGCCAAATTGTTGAGTTTTTTAAAAGTACAATAATGATACTTCACACTAAAATATTAGTCATTCTTATAACAAGTTGGTACACGTAACACAAGTAATGCAGTATCTTGAAAGTTTCAAATAAGAACCTGTGTTGATTAATAGGGGTCGAGTGTTAGAACTCATCTACCCACAAAATCAGTTTTCGTTTATATCGACCCCTGGGAAACTGATTTCAACCCCATGGGAACCCCACTTTGGGAATCCATGTCTTAGTAGATGGTAATCCTGACTACTACGCCAGAGATCGTCTCCACCTAGGGCAAATATTGTATGTTGAGCACGACCATTTGTTCTGTGTGCCTGGGAGTAATTTATTTATAATTACGTTATACGCGTAGTACATTGTGGGTTCACCTCCTCTCCCTCCCTTCACAACCAGAAGAATAAATATGTTAAACAACCTATATCAGATAGAGTTACTAAAATACTAAGTTTCTGATAAAACATTCTCGAAGTTGCAATATCATAATTGTGATACATAAAAATAATAAGTTCAAGGTCATGCATTTATTTAAAATAACAAAAGTGTTGATACTATAATAGCAACTATTGATGATAAACTTCCATGTCATTGAGAATCACTGATAAATTACTTGCCATCTGAAATTTAAACTGCGCAATCTCTTCAAGGATATGCAGTTTTCTAATAGTGACAATTGCTTTATAAGTCACGCTGCCTTCAATCGAATCTTTAATAAATTAAAATATGAAGAAATGAGCGCTCTGCACTGCTAATTGGTGACTATTAAGCTATGCGGTGGCCTTACCGCTTAGAGCATTTTTTTCCAGGCAACCTTTAGGTGTACTCGTTTGCCCCCTCTTCTTAAAAAAAAATAATTCATTTTAAACTGGTGGTAGGTATATACAAGATCGAGAAATCAATAAGGTGTTAACCTATGAAATATGTGATGAATATTATGAAATATACATTAAAATAATTTACATACCTACAATACATATACTGCCTCGGCGGTGCAGTGGTGGCGTATGCCACTGCGAGGTCTCGGGTTCTATTCCCGGGTCGGACCAAATGTTTGTATGATCTCCAAATATTTGTTTCGGAGTTTGGATGTTTCTATGTATAATATTTGTATATGTAATGTATGTATGTATGTAATGTATGTATTTACAAAAAAAAGTATATAAGTATTATATCAGTCAAACTAGTTTTCATAGTACAAGCTCTGCTGTGTTTGAAACTAGATAGCGTTGTGTCAGATGTCCCAAATATTATTATTATTAAACACAATACATACATACGTGTATACACACTACAAGTTTCGTCTAATATATCTGACTTTATTGGATTTTGTAAGATTCAGATACTTAAATCCGCTGCTTTCTTTAAATAATGCCTTAAATGCATACCGCTATACATTAACGTCGTAATTCTGATTTGAGCTCATGTGCATTTAATTGATGATTTAGTGCAGAATTAATTGATGTTTTTAAGAAAGAAAATTAAAATGATTATCAATTTTCTGATATGCTGCCAAACAATTTTTGCAAATGTGCATTTAGAATGTATCGACCATTATATGCACATTTGCAAAAATCGTTTTATTATAGAGATAAACGTATCTACACGAAGTTTTCCTTTGCCATTCAACTTTACAGTCTCTGACTAATTCTTCAAAAAAGTGACACGTGTACTGCAAATTCTTTGGATTTTTTCCTTTAGCAATTATTGAATACGTTATTGACAAAATCGATCAGATGTTTGT